TTTTCACGAACTTAGTTTATTTTTACGTTGAATTTCCTTTTTTGGGTTTGTATCACTCGCACAAATAAGTAAATCCCGGTGCGCGTAGCTCAGAAACTACTCACGTGAAAACAGTGAGTATCCAAGAGCACCTCGAAAATTCTTATTTGATTATAATGATGTAACATTGATTATTGGGCTGGAGCGGAGGGAAACGGAGTGGAAGACCTTATAGCCCTACTCATAGTTGGGCTAGAGCGGAGGGAAACGGAGTGGAAGCAGCCTTAGAAATTTTGCCGGTGTCCGGCTCCCGCCCCTATAATGACGATAATAAATTTTGTCGACCCCTGTAGAAATTAGAAGTTTAACGTTAATCATTAACGTCAACGATAAATAAGTAATCTACGTATGCGACTACGTAATAAAATTATAATAATAAAACTATCTTATTAGTAATTTTGAAGTCTTCTACGTAAATGTAAAAACATAAAAGAATTTATACACCTGAACAAAAAGCTGACACCTGAACAATTAAATTATCGAAATAATGAGTCAATAAAAACAAAAGACAAGGTCGCGCAAATGTCAAAATAATATTGGATGAATTGAAAAATCGATATCTATATGATTTGAAAGAAACTTGTGAATTTAAAGAAGCCCTAGACTTATATGTCAAACCGCAGGGGGAGTGGAAAGTGCCAATTATCAAGTCATCAGCTGGTAAAAAAGAAATGGATAACGAAGAAAAGAAAGGTGATATAGAAGAAGTAGTTATGCGTTTTTTGACCTCGAAGGATAAACTTACTTCAGATGATAAGAAGACTCTGGAGAATGCAGCCAATGAATTTTTGGATTCAAAAGAAAGAAAGCCGCTAATTGAGTTAATTGATAGCTTTTTTGTGAAGGAGAATAAATTAACTTTAGAAGATATAAATGTACTGAATGTCGCAATTAATCAATTTTTGGCTTTAAAGGATCAGGCGGCTTTGAAGCTTCTGGAGATTGCGATAAATGAATTTTTAGATTCATCAAAAGATGAGAGAGTATTAAAAAATACAATTCGTAATTTTTTGGAAAGTTCACTGGTTTTGGGGGATAAACTGTCCTTGAGAAATAAATTAGATTTAGGAGATCAGATAACTAAAGAGGA